CGAATCCCTGGGCGATCTTTCAGACAGGATTCCTTGAAGACAGCCTGACCTCCTGGGACTGCTCGTTGCAAAACCAAATTCTTCCAAGGCGCCTGTCACCAAAGACCAGTGTTGCCTGTTTTTAAATAAGGGGACTCGCCCAGATTTACTCTTTCTTGGCCCGATTTTCTTTGCTCGGATTAGCATTTGTGAGATTTATGCATATTGTTGTGTGTTAACTCGGGCCAAAAAATGTGGCCTGTTGCCGGTAGGACTCAGTGGAAGGACTGCAGGTGGTGAGGGTCATTCCCACAGCTTCCCCTCTGCCCCCGGGCGCGAAACCAGCCTCTGCTCCTTCGTAAAAATTATGATGATAAAAGTAACACGTGCCTGTTTTAAAAGCCCAAAAGTTTTAACGCAACAGAAAGGTAAAAAATTTAAAGTACAAGTCTCTTTCTACTTACATAATTCATACAAATCCACTTCCCAGTAACAATCACTATTATTGCTACTAATAGCTCACATTTATTGAGCAATTACTATGTGTAATATATGTTCGGAAGGGGCGCCTGGGTGGCTCAGTTGGTGAAGCATCCAACTTCAGCTCAGGTCATGATCTCATGGTTCGTGAGTTCGAGCCCCACGTCAGGCTCTGTGCTGACACCTCGGAGCCTGGAGCCTGCTTCGGCTTCTGTGTCTCCCTCTCTGCCCCTCCCCCATTCATGCTCTCTCTCTCTCTCTCTCTCTCTCTCTCTCTGTCTCTCTCTCTCTCTCTCTCTCAAAAAGAAATAAACATTAAAAAAGAAAACATATGTTCTCGAGCATCTTACAGCTATTGTTTTGCTAAGATTTGTCATGTGTTCTTCCCGATGTTTTATAAAATATACACATATCCTTTGCATCTTAAATAAAGGACTTATGCTCTCATATTGTGAGTAAACTTGTTCTTTTCACTTACAATGTCTTGGACAATTGCCATGCCATGATACATATGCCTCCTTCATCTTAACTTGCATGGTCAATATTGAATGGATAGGATACCGTACTTTATCGAACAAGTCCTCTGATGAAAGACATTTTAGTTGTTTCTAGTCTTTTATTACAAAGAATGTTTCGATGAACATTCTCGCATAAATGTTCTTGCAAACTCGTACATATCCGTAAGGTTATTTTGTTGGTGTTGATTTTTCTACTGCATTAGAATGTAAATTTTAATGTGGGCAGCGGCTTTGGTTTATTTCAGTATCGCTGGTATTTTATTCCTAGAGCCAAGCATATAGTAAGTGCTCAATAAATACTTGACCACTTACCATTGTACACCCATCAGACGGTCAAAAATTAGGAGGCTGATAATACCAAGTGCTGGCAAGGATGTGAAGCAACTGAATCCTCATATCCTGCTGAGAGTGTAAATCAGTATTTTGCTTTGGAAAGCACACTGACAACATCTCATATGTGTCTACTCTAGGACTAACCATTTTCCTTCCTAAGTATATATTAAGCTCTACTCTTGCACGTGTGCTCAAGGAGACCTGTACAGGAATTCTAATATAGCACTCTTTGTATTGTACAAAAGCAATGCACAAAATTGTGTAAAATAATGCAAAAGCATTGTAACATTGTATTACTCTCCCACCACACACGCACACCACCCGTTATTTTCTGTTCTGAACCATTTGAAAATAAGCTGAGTACATCATGATTAAGTAAGAAAGCTGCAGGGGCGCCTTGGTACCTCAGTTGGTTACGTGTCAGTCTCTTGATTTTGGCTCTGGTCATGATCTCTCGGTTCGTGAGTTCGAACCCCGCATCGGACTTGACACTGACAACAATGCGGAGCCTGCTTGGGATTTCTCTCTCTCCACCTCTCTCTGCCCCTCCTGCTTTCTCTCTCTCAAAATAAATGAAACTTAAAAAAAAAATGAGAAAGTTGCAGAAGGATTAGCATTTATAAAAACTCAAAATACATAAAACAATACCATAATGTTTAGAAATGCATACATATACGACAGAAATAGAAAGATACGAACTAGAATGACAAACGCCCGGTTTAAGCTAGTGGCTACATTGAGCATAGGAAAAGAAACGCGCTCAGGGATGGGTGCCCAAAGCTTCACTACCTGGAATTTTCTTACGTTGTGTGGTGAGTGCATATTTGCTGTTGGCTTTACTTTTTTTTTTTATGACTGACATATTTCATAATTTTAAAAAGCATTATTCTATTTTTATTTTAATGAGCGTTAAAACAAATCAAGACCGCACGTTAAATCTAATCAAGTGACTTCTTGGTGTTTTATTAAAATATCACTTTAGGGGCGCCTGGGTGGCTCAGTCGGTTAAGCGTCCGACTTCAGCTCAGGTCACAATCTCGCCGTCCGTGAGTTTGAGCCCCGCGTCAGGCTCTGGGCTGATGGCTCAGAGCCTGGAGCCTGCTTCCGATTCTGTGTCTCCCTCTCTCTCTGCCCCTCCCCCATTCATGCTCTGTCTCTCTCTGTCCCCAAAATAAATAAACATTAAAAAAAAATTTTTAAAAAATACCACTTTACTTGAAAATCTGGCCCTGGTTTCTGCACCTGGTAAATATGACACACCCAATAAATGTTTATTGGATGAACACATGAATACCCATCTCTCGATCTTTCTACATCTAAGCCCTATTAATGTGAGTCAAGGCCAAGTTCCTCTTGAAGATGCCCTCTTCAGGGTCCCTGCCATAGTGTTGGGCATCACCAACAGCTATACCCAAGGACAAGAGTCTTATTTCTTGTGCCCCAGAGAGTTTCTTTCCTCATTTACCACATGTTCTGCAATTAAACTAGTGATCTCCCTGGGCGCCTTGGTGGCTCAGTCGGTTGGGCATCAGACTGGTGTAGTCACAATCTCGTGGTTTGTGAGTTCGAGCCCCACATCTGGCTTTCTGCTGTCAGTTTGGAGTCTGCTTTGGATCCTCTGTCTCCCTCTCTCTGCCCCTCCTTCACTCTCGCTCTCTCAAAAGTAATAGACATTAAAAAAATCGTTTGAATGAAAATAACCTGTTTCTCTTCCAATTAGGGAGGGCCTTGTCTTATTAATCACTGTGTCTAGTTGAAGGTTCACACATAGCAGGTTCACTGGAAATGCTTAAACAGCATTAAATGAAACGATATATTTCCATGTGTCCAATACAAAGGTATACAAATGGTTTTTAAGCTATGTTTTTATTTTTGAATAGTTTTAGATTCACAGAAAAGGTAAAAACATAATACAGAGTATTCCCCTTTACCCTCTTTACCCTGGTTTTCCCCATTGTTAACGTCTTATACTACTTTGGTATATTTGTCACAACTGAGAAATATTGGTACATTGTTGGTACATTGTTATTGATGAAATGCCCCACTTTATTGGGATCTCACTAGCTTTCCTCTGATGTCCTTTTTCTGTCTCAGGGTCCCATCGAGGATACCACATTACATTTTGTCATATCTAGGCTCCTTGAGTCTGTGGTGTTTTCTCAGATGGTCCTTGTTTTTGATGGCCTTTGGATGCTCTTGGAGAATGTTTGTAGAATATTCATCATGCTTGGACTGAGGTTATGGGTTTGGGGGCGACAGCTCACAGAGATAAAGTATCATTCTTATCACATCATATCAAAACTCTGTGCCGTGAACATGACTTATCATTGATGATGTTAACCTGGATCATTTGGCTGAGGTAATGTTGACCAGGTTTTCCCATTGTAGAGCTATCCCCTCCCCCTCTTTCCATAGTCTATTCTTTGGAAGGGAGTGTGAAAATTAATAAAAGATTTATTTAGAATGGAGTGCGGAGGCCAACAGGGGGAGCTCTCGCTTCCCTCCACTCTTGTCCACTGCCAAGACCCAACAGGGACAGAAGGACCTTGCAGGTGGACGCCATTCCAGGAGGAGGAAGAAAGGGTTCCTCCTCCACCCCTCCCCTCGCTGCAAAGCGCAGCCGATGACAGACTGTCACAGCTCAGCCAACGGGAAGCTACTACACTCTGAGCTCCCGCCTCATTCCAATGGACTTTTGTTTATAAAATCCTTTCCAATCTCCTTCTCTTCTATAAATAAGGGTTCTCCTCCTTTGTTCTGGGACTTGCATACGGTTTTGCCATAGCTTGTTTGTCCAGTATTGCAATTCTCTGCTATCCCTGAATAAACCCATTTTTTTGCTGGTGAAATAGCTGGCGGGATTATTTTTAAGATTAACACAAGTCACTAGGCTCCTCTGCTGGAGGGGGGAGTAACTACACAGTTATTTGGAATTATGTACTGGGAGAGTTGTCTCTTCTCCCTCGTTTGTTTATATTAAAATGTTTCTAGACATATACGAATAACACAGCTCAAGAACCTTCTTTTGCATCTTGAGGCTCTCCCTAACCTCCCAGCTCAAAGGCAGAGTAGAGCCTGGAGTTATTTCCCCAGGGAGCCTCAGGGCAGTAATGGTGTCACGACCGTGATGGGGGGGAGGGGGGTCCCGGGGTGGGTATGGGAGCCAGGGCGGTGGAGTCAGGGGCATGCGGCACAGGGCACTGCGAACGGGGCCCCGAAGAGCTTGGGGGCTCCCTGGGGGCCCAGAACCCGTTCACTCTCCACCCGCCCTGGCTTCGCGAACATCCCTTGGCCAGCGTGCTTGGAAAATAGTTCTTGGAGCGAGCAGTCTGTCCAGTCACCGGAAATTTCTTCCGTCTCTTCCCTTGCGCAACGCCCTGGTGCAACAAGAATAATGGAGGTCGCAGCCGCCCTCAGCCCCCAGAAGGGGAGACGACGCCTTGGGTGATCAGAGCTACTTGGGACCCGCGGCAGCGCGGAGGCGGCGCGGCTGCAGGGCGTTGGGATCCGCCGCGAAGTGGAAGGGGCGTGGCCATGACCGTGGGCGCGGCGGCTGCGCAATGGGCCCGGGAGGGGGTGGCGGGGGCGTGGCTGTGGGCGTGACTGTGGGCGTGGCCCTGAGCGCGGCGCCGCGCTCGGGGCACCGGGTGGCTGCGGCGGCGGCGGCGTCCACCCCAGAGGCGGTTGTTGCTGCGCCCGGTACTGGGATCGCTGCCCGAGGCGCAGACGCGGTGGACTTCGCCCGCCCCGGCCCTCGGCTCGCTGTGGGCTCGTCATGGAGACCAACCAGAGGCCGTATCACCTGGTGGTGTTTGGCGCCTCAGGCTTCACCGGCCAGTTCGTGGCCGAGGAGGTGGCCCGGGAGCAGGTGGCCTCGGGGCAGAGCTCCAGCCTGCCCTGGGCCGTGGCGGGCCGCTCCCGGGAGAAGCTGCAGCGAGTGC